TTGTTGGTACAGTTAAACAGGGAGGTGGCGGCTGGTGGTGTGGGTCAGATTGAGTTTATTACATCCACAATGAATAAATGAGGTTATTTGAACATTTTAAAAAACAATTTGAAACAAAGTGCAGAGAATCCAACAAGATAAAGACCCGAAGCATACTGCGGAAATAGTTAGACTTTGGCTCTTGTACAATGCTCTTAGATAACTTAAAACGATCAATCGAACTATTGAGCATCTATGGGATCTGTTGGAAAAAAGAATTCATCAGCATACAATAACAAGTAAAGAGGCTTTACGAAGTGTTATGAAGGCAGATTGGTCCCGGATTACATTGAATTTAATTTTTCTTTATCATTCTTAATACTTTGGTAACTAATTTTAAAGCTGAAAGAAGACTTTCTGGTGCCTATATTTACTTGTTAATACACTAAAATCCCGTTATCTCAAAAATCAAAATAAGAATATACATTTTTGTTTTTTGCATTTTGAACTTAAAAATATAAAGAAGAAATACATGTAAAATATTTGAATTTTTTACTTCACTTAAAAAAATTTGTCGGGTGAACGCAGACTTTATTGGCTATGTGTACATTCTCGAAAGGGTTACAATCATGACTACATGCAGGCCGCTCTCTCGACCGCTCTCTCGATTGTCTCGAAAAATGTATGGATGCATTATCTTGCTGGAAAATGAATTCTTTCTTAATATAATTTTCATAATAGGTCACCAACATATCTTCTAATAACTCTGTGTAGATTTCGGAGTTCATTTTCATTGTAATAGAGCAAATTGGCGCTGTTCCAAAATACGAAAAGGCGAAAAGAAACATTACGCTATTCTTTACTCCAGGACGTGTGTCTTTGGGCAAATTCCGATCCCTTTGAACTATGAACATCAGTCAACCGCGGTTTTAACTTAAGTTTTGTCCACTTTATTGTGGATATGGAGCTCGTGCGACATGCCTGGGAGTGACCGAAAGATCTAATTCATCCTTGATTTGTCGAGAAGATAACATATTCTTAGTGACTTCATAAGGAATTTGTCTCCTTTGGCGTAATGTAAACTTGGCGTTTCATCGGAGTCTAGCGCCATAGTTTTGGCACTTTTTCAAAAAATTCAGTATAACTCCCTCACTTCAACAGATTTTGCTACACTCACCTTTAAATAACATAAAATATTAAAATTTTACACAAAAATCCTCAAATTGTTAAAAAAAAAAAGCATACAACTGCGCATAAACGAATGTTGCAACAAAAATGTGTGTATGTTCAACTTATTGCTTACCAACATAAGGAAAGTCCCGCTATCACAAAAATTTGTGGTGTCCTCAAACTATAGAAAATGCATGCAATATTTAAAACATTCCAAATTTTTAAAATTGTCATGGCATAGTGACTAATACGAATACATACTATTATATTAATTAAGAAATTGATTATATTTCACTCGCCATCAACAGAACAGATAGTAATTACTTGGTTTGAGGTCTGGACTGAAACGTGCAAAAGAACCTCCAAATCAAACTCCCGGAACTTCTGTGAAGTCACAATCGATGTGTGGCCTAGCGTTGTCCTGATGGAACACAATTCCTATCATACTGGTCAAAGTTACTAGCTCCTTGGTGATTGCTTCTTTCAGACGGTTTAAGTAATTGTCAATAGGTTCGAATTAAGAGCTTAATCGTAGGAAAATAGCTCATACTAGATGATTCCCTATCAATTCCACCAAAATAGTAAAACCTACCGTGTCGGTCAACCTTGGCTTGCCCACCGTTTGCGCAGGCTCAAGCAGTTTTTTTTAGCACGAAATCTTATTTTTTAACATCTTTCGAACGGCATAAAGATAAAGATTACCAAAACCATATATTGGAAAACTAATAGATTTCTTTTAACTAGACCTAGACTAGATACATATATTCTAGATGTATGCACTGTATATGTATGTACAGTTACCTACGAAAGTTTACGCTTTCGTTTAATGTGAAATTTTTCTGAAGAATTTTTAAATAACATCCAAATATATAAATCACACATATTTACACATGTATATACATATACATATCTACAAATATTTCTTATTTTATATGCCAAATTCAAGTCTCTGCCTGGCACATTTGGTCAAGTTTAATGAGTGGATTACTGTCAAGATGATCGTAAACACCTATTACCCATTAAATTTTATCTTTCAAAAGACGATTTGCACATGTTTGCGTATATACAATATGTATATATATACAAGTATATACTTATACATACATATATAATATATAAAAGAATAATTAACTTATATCAAGCTGTGCAGCGACATTTTACATGAGGAAGTAATCTAGAAATTTTCTCCTAGAAAATTAACAGTTTTATAGCTCATATGTATATTTAGATATATTGTACATATTTAATATTTATAACGGTAAATACATATAGAGATATTTAATTGTGACAATTTATTGGCTTATTAGTTGATAAGTGTTCAATTAGTAAACCAACAACTAAAACAAGAAATAAGCATAACAACCAATTTTCATAAGTGGTTATACAAAGGGTTAATTCTTACTAAATATCTAGCAGTAACTTTATTTAAAAATATTATACTTCATCTATACATAAGTATAATTGGGGATCCATGTAGAGGTACTTTTTCCAGTAGCCTTTTTTTGACGCTTGAGTCAGGGACAGCTTGACACGTCATATTATTTTTGTTCAGTATTGTTTGGCATTTCATCATGGAAAGACAAGGTTTATGAATCGTTCAACTTTAATTAATGAGTTTCGCGCGCTTCGCTACTTATGGTAAACATTATCGGCCTACTGAGCGTACTATTCGCAACACCATCATCCATAATATTCGACCGAATAGACCACATCCAGAATCACACAGTGAAGAAAATATAGCGGCTACAGCTGAGAGTGTACACGAAGACCGTGGAGGGTAGATTCGGCGCCGTTCGCAGAAACTTGGGCTGACGTATGGAACGACGCATTTTACGTGGAGATCTTAAATTGAAAGCGTACAAAATACAGCTTATGCAAGAACTAGAGCCGCTCGACCTTCCCAAGCGCAAAGTTCCAAGAAGAACCGATGCTTTCGAGCCAAATTTTGTCCGTTCCCACGACAGTCGGGTTTACATAACCGGAACGGACCCGGATTTATTCCGGCCAAGGACGGTCAACTCGGCAGAATTCTGCCGCTACAACAACAACAGCCAAATTTTGTTCAGCGATAATGCCCATTTTTGGCGCAATGGGTATGTAAACAAGCAAACTTGCCGCATTTGGAACGAAGAGCAACCTGAAGAGATTCAAGAGCTGGCATTCCATTCAGAAAAAACAACGGTTTGTGGGCCGATGGAATCAACGGTCCATATTTCTGCAAAAATTATGCTCATGAGAACGTAATCGTCAATGGCGACCATTATCGCGCCATTATAACCCACTATTTGATGTCTGAAATTGCAGATTGTGATCTCGGCGACATTTGGTTTCAACAAGACGGCGCCACCGCTCAAACATCGCATCAATCAATGGATTTATTGAAAGAACACTTAGATCGATTGGCGACGAAGATCATGTGATATCACACCGTTAAACTTTTTCTTGTGGAGATATCTAAAGTCTAAAGTCTATGCGGACAATCCGGCTACGATTCAGGCCTTGAAGCAAAACATTACTCGTGTCATTCGCCAGTTACCAGTCGAAATTCTCGAATGAGTCATCGAAAATGGGACTCAACGAATGGAAGATCTGAGACGTAGCCGTGAACAACATTTAAAAAAGATAGACTTTAAAAAATAAATGCCAAAGAATATTCTTTCGAATGATAATAAACATTTCCCATTTAATTTGAACTTTCTGTGTTGTTTTCTTGAAAATAGTAGGGAACCTCGAAATGAATCACCCAATATTTATAGGTATAGGGAATCGTAATCTATACCACTTGATGAGTCATTAACCTACTACAGCTGTCTTAAAATCTGGCATAAAAGCTGCCAGCTTCTGTGTACCGTTTTCTCATGATATGTTAAAATAGCAAACTGAACACTTCACATGTCGTGAGCTAGAACATGATTTTAACTTTTTAATTTTGCTTTCTGTTATAACAATAGCTTATAATAATTTATGACAGGTGTTGAAGAAAGCTATCGAAAAGGACCTACCAATTTATTTTGCACATATCTGAAAGTATTATATTTTTCTGGTGGTTGAAATCGCCAGGCATGTTCAGACAGTGAATTTTAGCATTCCAAATAGTAAGAGTGTGGAGATTTGTATTCCTATGAATACTGTCAGTTCAATCAAGTTTGGTAAGAACCACCCCGAACCATTTCAAAATGAACAATTATTTTGACTTAAAGAGACTAATCCATGCAGTGAAGCAAAACCACTAAAGTAGACTCTTTAATAACAACTTAGAACTAATAATGGCATCGACATGTCAACATTTCTTATCATACAACTTAATATTGGGCATAGCCACATTTCTGTGCTCAGATCTTTAGAGAATCGACCCTGGAAAAAGGTCGATACTGAAGCCTGTATTGAAGACTGGTCTTGGTCTTACTACGAAAATAGTATCTAAAATGTAAAGGTCGCTATAATCGGCATATAGTATACAGAATGATTATATCGAATTTTGTGAAAAAATATGATTTCTTTGAAACAGTACGGCCTGTTAATCGCATATCAAAATGACTTAAGCTTATACTAAATAATTGGTTAGGATTTGTGTTATTTTAACTTGTTCGAGACTTTAGGGGTTTCGGCTTAATCAATAAGGATTTTCGGCGGGAATAAGAAATATGTCTAGATTTTTATACGGAAATTTTAAGCATAGCTTAAGTCGACTTATTCTATTTTAACATTTTACCACAAAAATAATTTTCATTTACATTACAGTTTAGATAAAAACTGAAAAACTTAATACTTTATAAAAATAATACTTTAAACAAAATAACTTGATAATTGTGGTTATAACATTTTTATTTAATTACAAAATAATTACTCACATCTTTGTTCACAATTGCATCCGCCACTAAGGAAGTTCATTAAATTGACAATTAGTTTTTTTTATATTTGACTTAAATTTATTGTCTTTCACAATAATTAGCTAGTAAATCATTTTAGGAACACTTTTCAAACATTATATACTTATGTAGATATGTATGTGTGTGTATATAGATGATTTTTTCTCACAAATTCTTTGCAGTTATTCCAGTTTTCGTTACTGTTAATTTTGCTGCGCAGTTACATTTGAGCATTAAATACATATATGTATGTATTAGGGTGGAGCGAAAAAAAAATTTTTTCTTCAAAAAGTTTCTTTTTTATCTACAAATTTTACCCTCAAGCTAAGCAAAAAAAATTTTTTTTCGCTCCACCCTAGTATGTATGTATGTGTATATATATTGTTTTATTTTTTATGCTACAATGCTTCATTGCTTTCGTGCTTCAAACGATAAGCAATATTTTTCTATGTTTTTTTTTCAAGAATGTCATATATGTATGTACATACTATATACTACTGTATATTAAAAAGATGTAAGGAAGGGCTAAGCTCAGGCGCGGTTAAGCTATACTGTAATAATTAAAGAGGCCTATAATAGGTAATCATATTGGTATTGACCGTTACATGGGACATAAGCACAGTTAGAAGAACGAAAATCAAGCGATTGAGTATATGGTGAATGGAGAGACATACAGCCAACGGAAATCAGTTCGTCTCGTCATCTTAAACATATATCTGGATTAGTTTTGGCAGTTACAAAGAACCGTTAGATGAGCAGAGCTATTATACCTTGTGCAACATCTTGTCAGGGTATAAAACTGATACATGTGATTATTATGTTTCTTTGTACATACATATACATACATAGGTACATACTTATGTAAATATGTATGCCTTTATGAACGATTTTGAATTTATAATATTTGCTTTTTACTTCGCTGCTTTTTACTTTTGACTTCTTTCCTAATTTCTTTTCAACTCTTTAATTACTTTCTAATTTTAATTTTTTGCGGAGCAGAATGCTAAGCGCTTGAGAGAAAAAAAATCAAGGTTATAAGCGATTAGGATGGGATCAACTCCTTGAATTGTATTTTGCGGCGAAGTTCTTTCTTGTGTAAATTCAGGAAAAAGATATTCTATACATGACGTAGTAATACAAAGTCGTTTCTTTTTGTGAAAATGTGTTTCCAAAAAACAAATATCATATTAATCATTTATTTTTTGTAATTACAATATTTAAAATTAGCACTATATATGTTGGCAAATTTCCTAACTTTTGTTTTAATTTATGACAAATTCATTAGCTAATTTTAGTTTATGATGATATTTATAAAGATATTTTATTATTATTATTTTTACTTTAAGAAGGTATATTTACCTTTAAAAGTATTAGTTTTACTCAAAACATCAAAAGCAATTTTTCTCACGATAATGCTACATATCTTTTTTAACACAAAACTTAAACGATCTTTTGAAAAATATCTAGCATAAAGTTTACAAAGAAATATGCAGAAAAATAGTTTAGTCAGTCTTAAAACCAAATGAAAATAAATTTTTTTGTATAAAAATACGCAACAAGTAACAACGTTAAAAAACGTAAACATCGGTTGCACCGAAGCTGTAATACCTTTCACAAATAAAAAATATTCCTTACAAGAACTTGATTCCGATCGTTCAGTTTGTACGGCAGCCATTAGACATAGTCAGCTGATCTGAACAATTTCGTCGGAGATTACATTGTTGTTAGTAATTAACTCATGGCAAATTTCGTGAAGATATCTTATCAAATGAATATAAAAAACTCAAATTTTGCTTTGTTTTTGTAAGCTTTATTTTTAATTGAATTCCGCGGAATATATGTATACAATTTTAGTTTTTTCTTACACTGAAATATAATAATATAATAATTACTATTTTTATACCCTGAATAGGCCATATTAAGTTTGCCACGAAGTGTGTAACAACGAGAAGAAAACTTCGGAGACTCAATAAAGTATATGTACACTTATATATATATAACTGATCAGCGTTACAAGTTGAGTCAATTTAGTATTGTCCGTCTGTATATACGCGAACAAGTCCCTCAGTTTTGAGGTATCAATCTGAGATTTTTAACACGTCTTTTTCTCTTAAAAAGCTGCTCATTTGTCGGAACCGCCGATATTGGATCACTATAGCATATAGCTGCCATACAAACTGAACGATTGATATCTGTTTTTATTTTTGCTCCGAACTTATATTTTTATTTATTTAAAGCATTTTATAATTGTAATTTTTTATACACAGGTTGGTCGGTCTCACCAAGAAATAGCACTACTAACTCCAAAGTTACAACTTATTCCGTCAATTAATTCTTTGTTTACAAGCCATTTGAACTTGACGTGTCCGAGTATAATATCGCGCAGTGATTAGATTCTTTGTTTTGAAAGATTTAAAAGGAAATTTATCAACAATTGTTAGAAGTATATAAGGAGTTCTCACTTTCAAAATTGCTAATGCCATAGGCATCTCAGACGAACGAGTACTTCATATTTTACATGGAGAATTACACATGAAAAAGCTGTTTGGAAAGTTAGTGTTGCACACACTAACAATTCAACAAAAACTGGATCGGGAACAAATTTCTCAGCATAATATGGAGCGTTTTAAGCAGAATAAAACCGATTTCTTGGTCGTTTTATAACTATGGATGAGACTTGGATCTACCACCATGATCCTAAATTGAAACAAGAACGTTTACAGTGGACTGAAGCTGGTTGTCCAGCTCCAAAGCAGGCGAAGTCACAAAGATCAGCAAAGAAGATTATGGCATCAGTTTTTTTTGAAATCCAGAAGGATTTTGTTGATAATTAGCTGAAAAATTTCTTCGTGGAGAGCGTTTTGACGGGTATTTTGCAGAGCTTCCGGAAAGTCATTATAGAGATGGCATAAATTATTGGAGGGTGATTGGAATAACTGTATTGAAGTTAAGAGAGATTATATAGAATAAAAAATATATTTCATACTAAAAAAAGTATTATTTCACTTCGAGCGCAGAAACTTTTCAACCAACCTGTACATACTACTTAAAATTGCATTAAATTCACTATTTACAGCAGTTCAGCAGCACAGAGTACAAAATTTCTGCAATTTCATTGGCACAAGAATTTGTTAATAATTTACATAAAAACTATAAAGCGCTTCTTGAAAAACAGAGAGTCCTTCTCTCTCACTAGCTTTCTTTTTTCAAAAGCCAACTAGCTAGTTTTAGGTAATAATTAAAACCGTTATGCCCAGTACACATACATATGTAGGTCTGCTAATATTCTATGCAATTCATGTATTTTTGGTTTTAAATAATCTTTTTTTTTTTAGATAAATATTTATTATTGTTGTAAGTATATATTTATTTATATACACAAACAAATGTATATTTATTTGTTGTTCTCGCACACTTTTATTTCTTATTTTATTTACTATTCTACACACGCACTTTTTGTGCTCTTCCCCCACTATTTACCACCTCTTATGCTCTTAATCGCACTTTAATCATTTGATATAATTGCATTGTACAACAAATACAAGAAGCACAATAAATATTACACGAGTTACTTTGCTCTTTAACATATTCTTATGCACATATATATACATATGTATATAAGTATGTACTTATTCTTTAGTCTTTCGCAATTTTTACTATTTTGTTGTGCTCCGCTGTTTCTGTTTATTGTGCACATGCAGCACATACAAACATACAAAGTAATCGGTATTGCTTTAACACTATAAACACTATAAGTACTTTGAGTGGTATAAACCATCAATCAAACTGATAACGCTTGATACAAAGTGTACACAAAGTACGAGTATATGTTTGTATGTCAGAATTTATTTTTACTCCGCGTCTAATGAATGAGACATATGAGCACATATTAAGTGAGTTAATTACTGTTAGAAATAATAATTATATTTACTACCATAGTATTGGCAACAAAAAAAAACACAATTTGTTTACATGCTTTTATTTTGTTTTTGGTTTCAATTTTTAATTTTTTATAACTTTTTATTTTTAATTTCGAAACATTTGCTTATTCATTTAAGTGCGTTCATACTTTATATGTAGAACCATATGTTATTTATGCGCACAAAATCGAATTGTCAAATAAAAACAATAACACACACACACAAAATTATTTTACGCGAATTTATTTAGCAAACTAAATGACAGCAGACAATTTAGAGAACTGCACCGACGCATCACATACGGCGTATATCAAAAGACTAAAATTTAAATTTAAGCATTTAAGCGCGCACGCTACTGGGGCGCACTCATTCGGATTGACGAACATGCCTAGCTGTTGTACTGATGCCCCCTCTTGTTCGTGTGTATGCACGCGCAAAGCTTGAGCTCCACTTGCCGGGGCGTACGCGAACATTTGTACTTATATATATGTAGTACATAACGTCGTGTGTCTGAGTGTGTGTGCGTGAGTAGATGTACGACGCGCCGGCTGTTACTCTCAGCCTACTTTTTGGCCACTGTGATTGTGCCGAACATTCATTGTTGCTAATCAAAACAATAACAAAAATGCGTAAATACGAGTATGTGTAAATTTATATATTTGCCAAATTTTGGCAAAACAAAAATACTGAATAAGCGTTTGGTGCATACGGAGGATAATAAATTATGAAATATTAACAATTTATTAGCGTTGATAGTTCTATATATTTAAAAAGTTTCGGAATTTTGAGAATTTAAGCGGGAAAAATATAAAGAACAAAAACAAGACAATGCACTTATATATTTAGAGATCATTGTTATAAAAAAAATAAATTGGTAATTATGTACTTAATGACCCCCACTTCGGAGGGGGTTGGGGTTGCAGATGGTATGTGAAGGAAGTCTGTGAAATACAATTTCAGTGGATTTAGCCGTCGGCCACCCTTCAAAAAAATTATATGAAGGGTTAAAATTTCGTGAAAACAGCATATTCCCAAATTATATGATATTCAAAAATTGAGAAGTAAAATATATTTTTTTAATATTCAGGCCCCTTTGCCTTCAAACATCCCCCTCCCCCCCTCTGTATAGTTTAGGTCCCCCAACTAAGGAGGACTCAAAATTGAAATTTTTTTTTAAATCGTCTTATTTTTACTCGTAGATTACACATCCGTGAGCGGAAAGTGAATTTTTTCAATATTTCTATTTTTTTTTTTTTTTTTTTTTATATATATGCATTAAAAGTAAAAAATTGTGATACA